AAGGACTGCGAATTTGGTGACTTAATCAAATATATTGGTTTACAAGTACCACATGAATCTTACTAGACTAAAATCAAGGTTTCAGCAGGGCTGCGCTCCTTTCTGGAGGCTCTAGGGAAGAATGTTTCCATGCCTTTTCCAGTTTCCAGGGGCTGCCCACATCCCATGGCTCGTGGCTCCTTCCTCCATCTTCAGATGTAACCACAATGAGTCCTTCCTACGTTGCAGTCCTGCACACGCTTCTCCTGCCTCTGTCTTCTACTTTTAAGGACCCTTGTGATTACATTGGGCCCACCTGGATATTCCTGGCTCATCTCCCTACTTTAAAACCAGTTGTTAGCAATCTTTATTCCATCTGTACCTTTAATTCCCCTTTACCATGTAAGGTAACATTTTCATAGACTCCAGGGATTAGGACATAGACATCTTTGAGGGGCCATTATTCTGTCTGCCACACTTGTGTAACTACTAATCAAGATATTTCTTTCACTCTGTAAAGTTCTCTTGTTCCCCTTGGAATTTTCTTCCCATTCACAGCTCCCAGAGGCAACCACCATTTTGATTTCTCTCTCCATCAGCTGGTGTTGCCTGTTCTTGGCCAGATTTATGTTGAAGGGCTACCTCACACCTACCAGGTAGGGTGGAGTGAAAAATTTGGAAAAGTAAAACCTCTCTGTGACTTTTTGCTCTTGGTGGACTGTAGGAACAATGGATTGGAAGCAGTTCAGGGAGGGAGGAAGTCATGGAGGAGTGCTGCTTCAAGAGCCTAGGGTCAGAAGGTGGTGCACCCATCCACCTGCTCTAGTCCTAGGTCCACGAGTACCTGCAGAGACAGTCCTGAGGAGGGCATACCCTCTTCCCCTCCCAATCCCTGCCAACATGACACTATAGAAAGAGATTTAATGAACCAGTGCATGAACTATATGGAGGGCCTTGGTCTCACTCAGTTAGGTCACACAGGAACCAGAGAGGGACATGTGAATGCCACAGCAATCACAGCCAGGCCACTCCAGAAGTCTCTGAGGACCCCTGCTTCTCAGGCCCATTCTCGCACCTGGCAGTTCCTTCTAAGGCACTTCCTTCCACCTACACGACCATCGTTTTTTACTTCTCTCACAAAAGATACCACTGCTTCCCTTCTGGAAACTAAACTTCTTCCTCTGTTATTTTTATTTTTTGAAACAGAGGTGGTCTAGCTATGTTGCTCAAGCAGGCCTTGAACTTCTGGGCTCAGGCAATCCTCCCATCTCAGCCTCCCAGGTAGCTGGGACTACAGGTGTGTGCTACCACATCTGGCTTGGAGTATTTGGCTTCTCAGTCTGGAGACCTGAAGCCTAGTCCCTCGCCTGTCCTCTCTGTTGTACATCCTCCTCACCTGAGCATCTAGTGGAATTACATTCTTCATAATTTGTTTGAATGTTTTGGGGGTGTGTTAAAATACTTGACATGCATTGTCTCCTGATCTCACAAGAAGGAATAATAATTGTGACTACCTCAGTGAGTTTTTGTGTGAGATAATACATGTGAAGCTTTGCCCTGAGTTCTTGGCACCTTGTAAGCAGTTGGGAAATGTTAACTATTATGTTAATAGGATGATCTCATTGGCCCTTCATAACCACCCATGAAGTGCTATCATCATGCCCATTTTGCAGATGAGAAGTTTTGGGTTTCAGAGACACTGTCACTTTCTAACATGACACTAGCTAGTAAGTGGCAGAGCTGAGACCCGGGTCCCTCTGATTCTAGAGACAGAGCCCTCACCACCTTGCTATCCTGCCCTGGCTCCTCACAGAGTCACCTTCACTGTGGGTTTTTCATGGCCTACTGATGTAATGGTAGTGGAAAAAGAACTAACACCATCAGTGGGCACTGTGCTAAGTATTTTGCATGCACTGTGGCAGCCCCTTCAGCAGGTTCAGAGAAGTTGGGCAATGTGCCCACAGTCACAGAGCTAGTGTGTAAGAAACCTGGGATCTAAACCCAGACAGTCTGACTAGAAGGCCTGCCCTGCTAACCCTTTGTTAAGAAATGTTTTCTTCCATGGAGGCGTTGGTCGTATTTCTCCTTTGGGTCCTAAGAGGCGTAGTGGAGTATGCCTCTCACTTCAGCTTGATCATGGCCAGGGACTGCAGAGCCAAGAGAAAACTCCCTGAATCATCTCTCCCTATCCTCCAATACTCGGCCTTTTCTCATTTTGGTTTTCTGTGCTTCCTCATGTCTTCTGCACCTTACTGTCCATTTTATTATTTTATTGAGCATGTTCTGTTGATAGAGCTGCTTGAAATCCTGACGGGACTCAGGACTGGTATAAATAATGTGAAATAAACAAACTTAGATAACAGTGTCCAGTCCTCAGTCCCTTGCCGTCTCTCAGTTCCTAAGAGCTTTCCTTGCCCTGACCCTATCAGTTGTGGCTGTTGGGTCAACTGGCTGGCCATCAAGCCGTGCAGTTTGTCATAGGCTATCCGTGTCTGCCACGTGGCACTGCTATCAGATGGCAGATGGTAGACTTTATTTATTTACTCGACGTGCTTTTGGCTTCTTAAATGACCAGATTGTCCCAAAAGGCTTCTAAAGCTACCTGCATGTCATGGGAAGACTGCTGGGATGGTGACTAAAGCGAATTGTCCTTCTGGCAGTCCTTCTGGGCCTTAGTGGGCAGTGCAACCCCCTGTGTGGGTGAGGACATTGCATGGCTGATCTTAGTGGGAAAGTCAGTCACTGTCATTAGGCAGCAGTACGTAAAAGTCTTTATTCCCACACATCTCGTTGTGTGGGTCTGTGGGTACACGAGATCTCCAAGGAGTGGACAACTGGAAGTTGGCTTCTTGTGTTTGAGTGATTTTCTAGGATTCACTTATTTGGGGGTTTGTTTTTGTCATGTCCTCTGAATATAAAAAGAATCTGATGGGGCAGGCATCCAGTTAAGAGGGGCCATGAAGTGTTGGGTTATGTTTATTCTTTCATCAAATAATTATGGACTGCCTTCTATTTGCTGGGCATCCTCTAGGTGCTCTGGAGGCAACTGGAGACCAGAAAGGTGAGGAGTCTACCCACACAGAGCTTGCACTCTGCATCAGGCAGACAGTAAACAGGTGAACAGTCAGTACAACAGCACAATTTTGGAGTGTTTCATGGCTATAAAAGGAAGAAAACAGGGCATGTGAGAATAAGCCATAGGACTGGGAGCTGCTTTAGGGTCATCTTCACTGAGGAGGTGGCTTTAGTGATGATACCAAAAGATGAGGGGCCCTAGTATTGGGAAGAGCCAGGAACACAAGAACAGTGCCATGGCATTAAGTGTCCGCCACAGTACTATTTATCATCAGCCTCTTGGGTCACTTTCATAGGAATAAAGGCTATTTTAGTAAATAGTCATTAGAGTGTTCATGGAATTACTCTAATGTGTGGTTTCTTCTACAGGCTGCCAGTTTCATGGGAGGAGGATCCAGGCCCCTTTTTGCCTGCAATTGTTTCTTCTGTAACTGACACAGTACCCACCTTCTGACAGGTGCACAAACACATAGTGGATGGGTTGTGGGGGACAGGTATCAGGAAGCCTAAAGGAAAAAAGACAAAGGCAGATGGAGGACACTGAAGACTAAGCTTGGTTCCAGAATGGGAGTCCTGGAGGACTCCGTGACTCACAGAATGATAAGGCCAAGCATAGGGGAGGTGGTGACTTGTGAACTGGCCTTTGGGAGTAGCTAGAGGGCAAAAGATAGAACCAGGGAGCACAAGTAAGAAGGATGGATTCTGAGCTGTATGTAAGAAACCACCAGAAGTACAGTGGGAGGGAGAAAAAAGGACAGGACCAAGAAGTGCATTATGGGCAGAAGAAACATATATTTGTCACTGGAGCATGTGGACCAATGGCTGGAAGGGTCAGGGTGACTGAAGTTGCATGTTGTCAGATGGAAACATGGTGACCCCCTAGGGGACTGCTAAATTAGGCACTGGAGTCTGTGTTTGGGTAAGAGTTGGAAGAGTTAGAGGGCTTCAAGAAGCTGGTAAGATTTTAGTTCTTTTTGGGTTTGGAAGCCTACGACTACCCTCTGTAGAGAAGCCATCTTTTCAAATGGAGAGATTTGAAATTAGCAGAAAGATTCAACTGGAAGAAGCAAATATATTGTTTTATTCCTCTGAAAATGACCGTGTTGTATTTTTATGTAAATAATTTACAACAGTGTGGTATTTGCAAAGGGGTGAAAAGCGAATACTCATAAGTGAAGTTGAGACACCATATTGTGTTTTTACATCAATAGTGTATACTATTGCCTGCAGTGGGTCCAAAAACAAATATGTATCTGAGAGGCGAGCTACCTGTTAATTTTGAGCTTCTTCGTCTAACCACTCTTACCTGTCCTTTGAGGTTTGCTTTGAAAATTACCTTTTTTTTGAAGATTGAAGATTACTCCAGCCCAATGTCTTTCTCTCCAGCTCTGAGCATCTGTGATATAATTGTGTAGCTTCCCAAGTGCTTTTTACTTAACCTGCTTTAATCTGATTGAGTCATGGATATGTCCTCCTAACCTGTTAATGAACCCTTAGAAGTAGGTAGCATATCTTATGTGTTTGCGTATTTTTCATAGGGCTCTGCCTAGGGCAGGAGTGCATAGATGTCCTTAAACAAATGATTGGTCCTGCAATCATCACCAAAAATATATTCCATTTTCACTGTTAATAGAGCTATGTTGTACATGTATGAGGTTGGTAGTTGTTTTTAGTCAGTGGTAGTCTTCCACCACATGTTAGCATGTGCCTCCCAAAGCATTTATGACTGCTCCAACCATGGCAATATGTTGTAAAGTCTCCATGTTGAAAACCTCAGGCCTTAGAACCCAGAAAAAGATAGTGTGTGGAGTGTTTAATGTTGGCTTAATCTTAGATCATTTGTAAGATTTTGCAGCTGTCTCTAATCCATTAGGTTTTGGTGTCATAAGTGGGGTCCAGTAACTGGTCTATTATGATACCAAAAATCTGTGGGTTTTCCTTTACAGCACTCTTTTTTCTGCCGGTTGACAGAAGATAAGAAGTCAGAGAAATTCTTTAAGGTGTTTTATGACCGAATGAAGGTGGCCCAGCAAGAAATCAAGGCAACAGTGACAGTGAACACTAGTGACTTGGGAAATAAAAAGAAAGATGATGAGGTAGACAGAGATGCCCCATCACGGAAAAAAGGTAAATATTTTTCAGTCTTCATCAGCTGGACTGTGAACAACAAAGAAGTCTTTGTTTTCCTTATTTTTTTTTTTTCATTACTTCTAGACTCCAGATGCATTCTGACTGGTGCTTTCAGAAGAATAAAAACCAATCTGGTTATGATATAATTTTTCCTACGTAACCTGAGCTGTAGTTCTGCTGCCTAGAAGGATCTTCTTGTTTAACAATTAAAGAACATTCTGCTTGCTCAAACTTAGGGTTTTATTGGCAGGAGAATCCATGAATATTCTTTTCCTATGATTTCTATTTAATATTGGAGAAAGTTGAGGGGAACATACACTTTAAAACTGGATTTCAGGGCTGGACATTGTGGCTCATGCCATAATTCTATCACTTTAGGAGGCCAAGCAGGGAGGATTGCTTGAGCCCAGGAGTTTGAGATCAGCCTGGACAACATAGCAAGACCTTGTCTTTACAAAAAAACTAAAAAGAAATAGCTGGATGTGGTGGCATGCACCTGTAGACCCAGCTACTTAGGGAACTGAGGGAGAAGGATCACCTGAACCCAGGAGGTTGAGGCTACGTGAGCCATGATTGCACCACTGCACTCCAATCTCAGTGACAAGAGTGAGACAATGACTCAAAAAAAACCCCAAAAACCCCAAAACTAAGTTTTAGTCCTTTGTGAGATAATTCTCCCTTGTTTTCCAAAGTATTGAAAAGTTTATAAAACTGTTTATCTGTTACCTTCCTGTAAGAGAAGTAGTATTGAGGAGTGGATAGACCCATGAGTGTTAACAAGTGTTTCCCAAAGCAAGTTAGCCACCCTGAGCCTCATGTGTTGAGTTTAGAACTGAGTTTCTCAGCCACAGCACAAATGGCATTTGAAGACTTCTTTGTTTTAGGGGCTGTCCTGTGCATTGCAGGACATTTAGCAAGATACATGGCCTCTACTCAGTAGGTGCCAGTAGCTTACTCCTACCCCCAACCAAAAAGTCTCCAGACATTGCCTGTGGTCCCCTGGGTGGAGTTGGGGTAAAGTCACCCCTGTTTGAGAACAGCTGGTCTAGAAGGAGGCTAAAGAGAAGGAAGAGAAGAATGGCTACCATTTTCTAAGTACTGACTATGAATCAGGTACTGCTCAAAGTCCTTGGCATGTGTCAGTTTATTTCGAACCCACATCAATTCTGTAAGATAGATAAAATCATTATCCCTATAACAGAGAGGAAGAAGCTGAGGCACAGAGATGGTAATTAACTTGTTAAGGATGCACAGCTAGGAGGTAGTCTGGCTACAGAGTCTATGCTGCTAACTATAATGCCACACTTACCTCACAGGGTTATTTGGAGGATCGATTAGATAAGATAATGCACATGACGTGTTTAATTATGACGTCTTGACACTTGGTAAGGGGTCAATAGTCATTACAATAATAATAATTACTACTGTGATTAGCATTTTGTTGAGCCTCTCAGGAGCCATCTCCAGATAGAATTCACGGATGCACTCCCATTTTACAGATGAGGAAGCTGAGGCCCAGAGCCTCAGATTTATGAGGTTGGCAGAGCTGTAATAGGGCTTTTCCTCTAAAACACAGTGCAAATATAGATGAAATGTTAGCCCTGTAAGCAAAGTGGCAGGGCTTGACTCAGTTTAAATCCTACCTAAGACCTGAGAGAAAATGGTGACTTCTGCAGTGTTTTGCCAACCTTGAAGATCTCCAAGGAATACAGGAACGTAGCCTTCTGAATTCCATTGCTCCTGATGCTTCCGCGGCATTGACTGCCTTCCTCTTGCTTTCTAGCTAAAGAACCCTCAACACAGATCACAGAGGAGGTTCGGGATCAGCTCCTGGAGGCATCTGTTGCCACCAGAAAAGCCTTTACCACTTTCAGGAGGGAGGCTGACCCCGACGACCACTACCAGGCCGGGGAGGGTGCCCAGGCCACTGCCGACAAGTCCAAGGATGACCTGGAGATGAGCGCTGTCATCACCATCATGCAGCCCATCCTCCGCTTCCTGCAGCTCCTGTGCGAAAACCATAACCGAGACCTGCAGGTGAGGGCCTGGCAGGGGTGTGGAGGGAGAGTGGGCAGACGTTCACTAGCTGGATGAATGGAATGGCTACTTTTCAGTATTTTACACAAACAGATGCTCAGAAGCCTTTGTTGAATTGATTATTTCTGAAAACCTTTGCTCATTTTGTTGCTTTTGGATGATAACAATGGCCAGGATTTATTGAGCATTTAGAATATCCTGGATGCTAAGTGTTACCTATATGATTACATACACTGAGGTGCAGGGGCCACTTTAGAGAGTACAGAGCTGAGACTTGAACCCAGGCAGTCTGATGCTAGAGCTCATGCTGTTAACCAAACGAAGGTATCGGGGGCGGTGCTCACGTGGCTGCCCCCGAGCAAAGTGCTAGCTGCCTGGGCCTGTTCAGACTTCCATTCCTCCCTGACCTTCCCTGCCTCACCACACATCCACCTTCCTTCCACTGGGGAGGCATAGTAATGCTTTCATTGCACAAGTTGGTCATTTTTTTTGTCAGGGTCTCAGTCTGTCACCCAAGCTGGAGTGCAGTGGCCCAATTGCAACTCACCACAGCTTTGACCTCCTGTGTTCAGGCAATCCTTCTGCCTCAGCCTCTCAAGTAGCTGGGACTACAGGCATGTGTACTATACCTGGCTAATTTTTTTATTTTAAAGAGATGAGGTCTTGCTATGTTGCCCAGGCTGGCCTCGAACTCCTGGGCTCAAGCAATCCTCCTGCCTCGGCCTCCCAAAGTGCTGAGATTATAGGCATGAGCCACTGCACCCAGCCTAAGTTCATCATTTCTTGTTTGAAAGTCTTCAGAATTGGTTTTGTACCTTATTCCTTTGCAGAATCCTCCTTTGAACAAATACCCTGAGAACCCCATAAGCAGAAGCAGCTTTTTTTTTTTTTTTTTGAGTTGGAGTCTCACTCTGTCACGCAGACTGGAGTGCAGTAAAACCATCTCACAGCCTTAATGCCTACCTAGGGCTGCACTTTCTTCTGAACAATAGCCTAGTTCTTTCACAAAAGAGCTTTCTAAGTACTTCCTAGAGACTTTTTTGTTGTTGTAATGGGATTCCTATGAATGTAGGTTGAC